TTTGCTTCGTTACTGGACGAATACTTAATTAATTAATCAGCAGAGCGGCTCGTTAAGTCATATCTGGTGGTTTAACATCAGAAACTGAACTCGTTGTCTCTGACCTGCAGCTGAACCAACAAACATTCAAACCTTTTATTTTTAGTCTCTACAGTCGACTTCCTCGTCTTGTTGCCTTCACAGCATTGTGTTGGTGTGTGTGTGGCCGCTTCGTACAGTTTGTGTTTATTAAAGTGTTCTCGTGGCAAATGTCTGCTCAGTCAAATCAGACAGACAGAGGAAACCCACGATGAGTTTCCTTCAGGGATTTATTCTGAGGCTCTTGTCAACACACAGGTTTCCTTGGGGACACACACACACACACACACACACACACACACACACACACATACACAACGATGCACAAACACTTCCTCCACTCAGTAATTTGCACAAACACATTTTTTTCTGCCTTTGTGTTCAGTGATTCATACAGTTTTATTTTGTCCTTCTATATTTAACTGTGACGCACTGGCACACAAAGACACACAAAGTAAACACAGACGCACAACAACACTACGAGGAGACGCCAAAGTGCAGCAGAAATGCACAAGAAGACCCACAAAGGGACACAGCTACTAAACAGAAACAATAAAATGACCACAGAGAGACACAAAAGACAGCAAAGAGACGGCAGAGACACAAAAAATGCATTAAAAAAACACAACAAACACACAAAGACAAACGCACAAGACGTGCTCGTTGACCTGCAAAAACACGTTTCATGTTCAACATTGATGTCGTTGTTTTTGCATATATAGATGCATCTTTATCTCTGTCACACACACACGGACACACACACACACACACACACACACACCTACACACACACGAGCGTACACACATGGACACACACACACGGACACACACGAGCAGAGGAAGGCGTTCATTGGCCGTCCGTCTCCGTGCCGACAGCTCTGAGGAGGTTGTTTCCTCGAGTCAAGTGTTTGTGACGTTGATGTAGAACATGCTGTCAGAGGTCAGGTTTCCATTCATTCATTCTCATGTGCAGTCATTGATCACTGATTATTGATTATTGATTATGGATCATACAGTCATTCTGGTGAAGATGCAGTCTGCTGTTGTATCACTTTAACCCGAAAGCTTTACGTGTTTATTCCATCGTCTTTTTTCTGTTTGGTGACACCCAGAAAATATAAACAGAGTCTAGTCAGCGTTTAGCTAAAGTGGAAAGAAACACAGAGAAGCACGACAAAGAGCCACAAACGACAAGAAAACAGACAACATGAACACAAAGAGACACACTGAGACACCAGATGAACACAAAGATGCACAAAAAGACAATAAATAGAGACATAAATTGACCACAAATAGACACAACATGATCAGAAAATGTCTACAGATGGACATAAACACCCAACAGAGTTTCTATCAAAGTAGCAGAAATACATACAAGCAAAACATCCACAGACACAAACTGACCATAAAGATGCACAAAACCAGAAAAAAAACCACAGAAATGACCACAGAGGTGTAAAAATAAAACGTTCAAAATGACCATAAAGAAATTAGAAGGACACACGCAAAGATAAATGAAATGAAGACGCTAAAAATAACAACAAAAAAGACACAAAAAAACCCACAGAGATAAAAAACATAACCATAGATACACAAAATGACCACAAAGAGACACAAAATGACCACAAATATAAATAAAACGGACACAAAAACAGTCAAAACAATGACAAAGATAAATAAAATCCCGCTCAGGAAGCCTAATTCGGCCGTACGTTAACATAACTGTCTCTGATTATTGAACATAAGAATAAATAAAGTTTTGAAGGCATCAGAAACGTCTCGTTTCAGTCTAAATACCAACACATGGCTGTAAACAAACAAAGAATATCTGCTTCACATCCATCAGTGACGTGATTGTGCAGTGCGTGAAGATGAGAAATCACAACCACATGCTGCAGAGGAACCAGTCCGATGGTGGGTTCTGGCTTTCCCAGCATCCCCTGTGAGACTGAGCCAGAACTTCCAGGTTCTGACACGCGAGCTTTAATCGTCTGTGGCGTCTAAAGTGCATTTAAATTGGTGTTGTTGTCTCTGGCGCTGGTGGTGCACATCTGGAGCAGAGCAGATGTTCGTTTCTTATTATCGGCTCTGAAGGACACAAAACCAACAAAGCAGCTGAAGACACGACAATGTTTCAGTCTGATCCGTCATCAGCAGGATGGGATGCTTTTAATTTGAAAGGGCTTCCTCCTGAGGCTGCCATCAGGTGGACAGAAGTCGGAGGACATGATTCAAACTGAGTCATCTCCAGCTGCTTTGAAGTCGATTTTAGCTTCAAGGCTCAAACATGAACTGATTAACGTCATATTTTCTCATCGTGGGAAGACTTTTGTTGTGAAGCAGCTGCTTGTTGTTGTTGTTGTTGTCGTCTCAGAGTGAGTTCAGTAACACAACAGGTACAAGAGCGTCTCCTCCTGGAGTTAAGACGTCTTCCACACTTTATCCTCACTACAGATGCACATAAAACGATCACAAAGAGACACAAAAAGATGCTAAATGAGCATAAAGACGCACAAAAGACCACAAAGAGACGCCAGATGGTCACAATGACGCACAAAAAGACCACAACAGGACGCAAAGGTACCACAGGGATGTCAAATACACACAAAAAAACCCACAAATGTACACAACAAGATCACAACAGTAAACCATGTGACCACAAAGAGACACAACAGGACCAAAAGACGCACAAAAAAGAAGACACAAAAACACACAAACAGTTTCTGTAGTTTTTACTTCCTGTAATTTTCAGTATTTTTTTATTTCCTGTCGTGTCTCTCTGGTCCCAGTAAGGATCCACCTGTACTTCCTGTAGTTTTTACTTCCTGTAGTTTTTACTTCCTGTTGTGTCTCTCTGGTCCTGGTAACGAGCTACCTGTACTTCCTGTCTCCGTCCTCAGACTAAATGACTGAACTCTCAGACCTTCCGGTCGATGGATCAGCTTCCTGCTGAACTCTGATCCACTTTAACGTCGACCCAGTTTCATGTCTGAGGTTTGTTCAGCTGCAGGGAAATAAAAACGCCACCGTTCGGTTTGTTTACGACGGAAACGTGCAGAGAATCTATTAAACTCTACATCAGCAGACCTTCATGTCTTCTTCCAAACTGATGGAACCAGAACCTGTTCATCTCAGTGTGGCATCGTGTTCTGGAGAGGAGCCGTGTTGTTGTGTCTCGGTTGTGTGGTTTCGTTTTTGTCTGGTTTTCTGCCTCGTATTTGTCGTTTTGTCTCCGTTCTGCTGCTTGGTGTCTGGGTTTGGTTCATGCTGTGTGTCACGTCGTCTTCTTTGTCGTCCTGTCGTTTTGTCAAACAGCTGCTCTGTTGCGTTTTATTCTTGTGACCAAACAGCCGAACCTGATTTGTTCAGTGTGGTTGTTCACAGATGTGGAGAAGTTCTGGTTATTTCTGCTCCTCAGGCTTCGTTTGTGTGTTTACCTGAGATCTCAGCTTGGGTTTGTGTCTTGTTTCTGTCCTGTTGTGTCTCATTTTGCAGATCCATTGTTTAGTATTGTAGCTCATCAGAAAGAAAACGCTGCAAGTTGACTCGAAGTGACCTCAAAGATGGACGACAATGCTGAAAACAGACACGCAACAAACTCAAGGGCACACAGAACGAACACAAGACACACAAACTGATGCAAACTCTGATGTTTGTGTTGTTTTGTGTCTCATTTTGTCGTGTCGTGTCTCGTTTGTGTATTTTGTGTTGTGTTTTTGTGGACTTTTACAGCTCACTGCTTCACTCAATAAAACGTTCTCTTTTCTCTGCTTCCAGCTGTGACTGGGATGTGAGCAGCTTCTCTCCGTCTGCTTCTCGTCGTCGCTGAGGATCGTCCAGAGATGCCTCCAGCCTTCAGGTCCTCAGCTGTCTGTTCTCTCCAGGTTCTGGTCCTGGTTCTGGTCGGGGCGCTGCAGCCTTCAGAGTCCGGATCCTGGACCCAGACGGGGCCTCGGCTGCAGCTTTCACACTCAGGTAGGAAACANACAGGTCTACAGGTCCTACAGGTCCTACAGGTCACACAGGTCCTACAGGTCACACAGATCTACAGGTCTACAGGTCCTACAGGTCACACAGGTCCTACAGGTCTACAGGTCACACAGGTCCTACAGGTCCTACAGGTCACACAGGTCCCACAGGTCCTACAGGTCACACAGGTCCTACAGGTTCCACAGGTCCTACAGGTCACACAGGTCCTACAGGTTCCACAGGTCCTACAGGTCACACAGGTCCTACAGGTTCCACAGGTCCTACAGGTCCTACAGGTCACCCGAGTCGCACCAGTCCAGTATAAGTTCTGCTTTAAAGACAGCAAACAGCATCAAGATCTAAATATTTTTCCTTTTATTTCTCATCAACAGAGAACGTCGACAAGAAGAAGTTTGTTTTAATGCATCAACGTGAATTTTTTTTACTGTTTGTTTACTATTTGTTTACTGTTTGTTTACTGTTTGTTTACTGTTTGCTGAGACTAAACACCCAGACAACCAACAGAGAGTCCCCCATGCTCTCTGGTCAGTTGACGAGTTCCCAGTCGGTGGTAGAACCAGAGCATAGAGGATGAGTTCTGGTTGGTTCTGATGCCGTTCTTTGTCCCCAGACGGTGAACTCTACGCCGGCACCTCGGTGGACTTCATGGGCGCCAACGCTGCCGTCTTCAGGACGTCGGTCCAGGGCGGCAGCCAGCGGTACATCCGCACCGAAGCCTTCGACCACAACTGGCTCAACGGTGGGACCAGTTCCTAGTCNACACACACACACACACACACACAGGGGCGGTGTGTGCGTCACTGCTGACCCAGTGTTTGACCTGAGCAGGAATCCACAGAGACCAGCCTTCATCCTGCAGGGACACACACTCTGATTGAGGGTCGGCGTGTGTGTGTGTGTGTGTGTGTGTGTGTTTGTGTGTATGTGTATGTGTGTGTGTGTGTGTGTGTGTCTGTATGTGTGTGTGTCTGTGTGTGTGTGTTTCTGTGTGTGTGACAGAGCAGCAACGTTTCAGAGTTTTTCCTCCAACCTGTTGCTCCCTCTCCAGTTCCTGCTTCGTATCGTCGTCACTCAACAAACACACAACGTGCACACAGACACACATGACGTGCACACAGACACACACAGCGTACACACAGATCTACAGAACCCTCCTCTGCAGCTCCGGAGCAGCGACCAGGTTCTAGTTTCTGCTTCACATGTTTACAAGTTGGTGTCTCCGCCTGCAGCTGAATGTTCTCAGAATTATCATGACCCGACTGCCGGTTCCAGTCCAGTCACTCAGAGCTTCACGTTTGTGCCGAGAAGAGCAGAATTTGTTGTTTTTTGCAGAGTTTAAATCATGTGAATACTTTATTTCTGATTAATTTTCACGCTGAATAAACATTGATTTAGTTGAAACAGCCCAGTTTGGACCACGTGGTGTGTTCAGGGACTGTTGGAGAGATGAACATCCACCAGCTGCTTCTGCTGGTGCAGTTTCTTATAAATTATGTCTTTTTTATTCAGTGTTTTTATCGATATTTTGCTGCTTAAGGTTCACAGCCGAGTCGCTCGGTGCTTCAGAGTTGTGCAGAACTTTTTATTTTGATATTTTTAAATGTGGATTAACAGGATTTCCTCGAAACGGCGCCATGTGTAGCTGACATCTGGAGCATTTTTCTGATTAAACATCACAGATCACAAATGAACCTAACAAACAGGTTTTCCTCTGAAACACCAAACCAGTGAGATGCAGGAAGGTGGTTTTGTGGAGACGGAGCTGGAAGATAAAGTAGAAATGAGAACAAAGTGCAGCTTGACTGGATGACAAAGTAAACCTGGATTCAGACTCTGATGAACAGGAAGCTGTCCAGATCCTCTCCAGCAGCTCTGACGTTTGTTCGTTTCTAGTTTAAAGCTCTGGTTTCTGCCGACAGAGAAGCTGGGTTAGGGTTAGTATTTGTTGTCGTCCGAGTGTCCAAGTGTCCAAGTGCCCGAGTGTCCGAGTGCGTTCGGTTTGTTGTTTCAGACGAACGAGTCGTTGGTTCAGATNAAAAAAAGATGCAGGAGGCATCAAACAGCCACTAAATGATCCTAAAGATGCTCGAGAACATTAAAAACAGGTGAAAATCATGATTATCTTAACATACAGTCAGCTGGTTTGCCTTTTTTACTCTCCAGGACAAAAGTCGAAACTTTACTTTATTGTCACTAAAATATTAAATTCACAGAATAAAAAAACAAAAAAAGTCAAATTAGTAGGAACGTTAGCTGACAGTAGCTAAGAATTCAAGCTAGCTAGCTCGTGCTACAGCAAGCTAGCATCACATTATGAGCTTTTCACCCGTTTCAGTGTGTTTACGTGTTTTTCTGCAGAAATAATCGACATTAATGGAATGAGGGAGGCTCTGTGAACGCTTCACACTCGTTACATCCCAGTGAATCCCATTAGCACCAGTTTACTTCCTCCTGGAGACTGTTTCCGACCAGCAGCGCTTCGTTCAGGCTTCGCGGCTTCATTGTGCTGCTGCTGGTGAGATGTTTGTGCAGCGGCTCAGTGAATGAATGAATGAATGAAGGAGGGCGAATGGAGTTCGTGCAGCAGCCTCGCTTTTGTTCCTACAGTCGTCTTTCTGTGGCTCAGCGGGTCGGAGGTTTCACAACAACCTCGACGGAGGGAAAAGCAACGTTAGCCTGAGTTATTTAGACCGCCGGAGGATTAAACAGACACCAGCACAGCCTGACATGGAGCTGGAGAGCTGGCAGAAACAACAGCCTGTTTTTAAAAGAATAAATTAAACTTTAACCCTCTGAACCCCAAAACCTGCTTTAAAAAGCATGTTTTTGTTTATCAGAGCCGCTAATTATCAGGTCACTGTTTGCTTTACAGAATATTTAAACCAAACTGTCAAAAATAGACTGAAAACAGCCAGAAAATGACAAAAAAGTACCAAAAATAAACAGAAAACAGCTGGAAAGTGAGGACAAATGATCAGTTCAGTGTTAGCAGCTCTCTGAAGATCCAGACGTCTCCTTCAGGAGGTGGTGGAGACCAAATGTGGAGCTAAAAGTGAGTGAAGCTGGACTGAACCGTTGCTCAGATCCGTTTATTGAAGACGAGCGTCTCACAAACAGCGACGCTGACGTTAAAGCTGGACTCCAGAGATCGTCAGGAGTTAACGAACCAGCAGCTTCTCGTCTTAATTAAAGTGTGTTGACGTCGTCCAGAGCAGGCGGCCTCCTTCAGCATTTACCTGGAACCCAAACACCTCATGATGTCACAGCGCCGCCACGTACTGTGTTGTTGTTTGTTATAGTGTGTTGTTGTGTTGTTGTTTATTATAGTGTGTGTTATTGTTTATTATAGTGTGTAGTTGTTGTGTAGTTGTGTGACCAACGGTAGCTCTCTGGTGGTTCCAGGCTGTAAACTGCAGCAGTGTGTTAATGAAGATAAATTCTGGTTTTCTTGCTGCGTTTGCTGCTCGTTAACGTTTTATTAGTCGGAAACTCAGACAGCAGCTTCAGGGCAAGAACACACACACACACACACACACACACACACACAGACACACACACACACACACACACAAACGAGCTCTTCTGCTCGACCAGCTCCATAAACTATGAATACTTAAAACAGTATCAGAAGCTGCAAAGGAGCTAAAAGAGAAGAACTGACCAGAAAGAACTGGAAAAGAAAAATACTGAAAACTTGACACAACACCGCCTGAAATAAACACAAAACAGCCAGAAAGTGACAAAAACAACCACAAATAGACAGAAAACTAACAAAACATAAACACATAACAGCCAACAAGTCACACAAACTATTAAAATGAAACAAGGAACAACCAACAATAACAACAATAAACACAAGTCAGCCAATTAGTGACTTTAATACGACATTAATACTAAAAGTTTATGAGCTGCTCTGGTGTCAGCGTGAGAACAAAGCTGCTGAAGACGGTCGACGGGTGATTTTTAAAACATTTATCCAGAAAAGCATTTAATATATGAAGCTAAACATCTGTATAAACATCTGTACTTTATGTTGTAACAGTTCCAGACGGATCAGAGGTGGTGGAGCAGAAACTGACCTAAGATCTGATTATTAGAGATGAAACTGATCAGTAATAATCAATATATGTATATATATATTACTATTGTTACCCACCAGAGACGTCTCTACAGTCTGACTGCAGGACTGTCACTGGGACTGGACTAAAGCTACTGAACACTTTATCACACACACACACACACACACACACACACACACACACACACACACACACAAACACACACACACACACACACACAGGGGCGGTGTGTGCGTCACTGCNTCAGCGGAGGGTTCCAGGTTCTGCTGCTGGATGAGGACCAGGGCTGGCTGCTGGTCGGAGGGAAGGACCACGTGTACCTGCTGAGGCCCGACAGTCCGGACCTGAGGACCAGGACGGTGAGAACGCAGCTTGGTTCCTCGAGTCAGAACACCACGATTTAGCAGCAGAGCTCAGATACCGGCCCATCAGTTAGTCCATAGAAACACCAAGAACTGGTGTTCTGGTCGAGTTTAAGAAAGAAATACAAAAGATCTGACCTGATGTGAACATCTGCAAGAAGGTAAAGTTAAAATGTAGGATTATTGTGACTGTTGGACCAAAAAACACTGAAACCAAACATCTGACTGTTGGTTTGATCAATAATGTCCATTATTAAACATTTTACCCACCAAAACACCAGAACCATCAGAATACGGGCTGGCACACACTCACCCTAACAACATGTTGATTGTTTGTATTTATTTTATTCTTCTTTTTTACCTGTTGACCGTCCAGGTGGACAGTGTTTGTGTGGACGTCTGCTATAAATAATACAGTTGAAGAACTGAAGTAATGATGAATTCATAGCACTTGACGTAGATCATGTGACATGTGTGAGGGGGTTCTGGGTTCTGGGTTGTGGTTCTGTATAAACGTGGTGTTTTAGATGTTTGTCTTGTGTTTGCCGTGGAGCAGATCTACTGGCCGGCTGCTCGGGAACATGTGGAGCACTGCAGGCTGGCAGGAAAGAGTCTGGAGGTGAGGATCAATTAATGACACCTGAGCAGAGCGTCAGCAGACAGACCGGGTCCACCTGCTCAGGGGGACCTGCTGCTGCTTCATCTAGACCTAAACTAAACCTGTTCTTCTGTTTCAGACCGATTGTGCGAACTTTGTGCGTCTGCTGCAGCCGTTCAACAAAACCCACGTGTACGCCTGCGGTACCGGAGCCTTCCACCCACAGTGCACCTACCTGCAGCTGGGACACAACATGGAGGTGAAGCATCCATCCATCCATCCATCCATCCATTCATCCATTCATCCATTCATCCATCCATCCATCCATCCATCCATCCATCCATCCATTCACTCATTCATTCATTCAGTCGTTCTGTGAGTTTACACACACAGAGCATGGTGTCAGCCTGCAGCACAGTGACACAAAGCCAACAATGAGACGAAGAAACGACGACAACATGATCTAAAGTGACCACACAGAGTGGTGCTGATGCTGCAGAACGTCTGCTAAATGAACAACGAGAGAAACAAACGACCAGAGACTCAAACCGGCCGTTAACGAGTTAATACGAGCATAAAGAGGCTTAAAGGGATTGTAGGGATGCACAATAAAGCAGAAAGAGACAGAAAACGGCCAGAAAATCACTCAGCATGACGACACGGAGGCACGAAATAACAAAAAGTCACACAACATGTCCTCAGAGAGACAGAACAGAACCAGAAAGAGAGAAAATGACCACAAAGTGACACGAACAGACTCAGACTGGCCAGCGAGTGACACGAACAGACTCGTCCAGCGAGCTGCAGACGGGCCGATAGAGTCCAGTCATCCCAGACATGCGCTGAATGTGGAGAACAACAGGACGCTTGTTGGTTCTGCTGCAGCTGCTCGACAGTGAACTCGTTGTTGTGACTCGGAGGTTCTGACCCGTCTCCCTGTGTGGTCTCTCTCTAGTTCCTGCTGTCGGCCTCGATGGAGTCGGGTCGAGGAAAGTGTCCCTTCAGCCCCAGAGAGCCGTTCACCGCCCGGCTGTCCGGTANTCTTCCTGATGCTCTGAGGCTGCTGGAGGTCTCGCAGGTTATCAGGAGGATTGATGTGAAGCTGGAGGAGGTCCGGTCCGTCTCAGGATGTTTCCCACCACGGCTCCCTCACGCTGAGAACCTCCTGCTTCAGGTTCAGTCGGTTCAGCTCTGATGGATGAATGTTCAGGATCGCAGCCAGCATCAGAACAAGCTCAGATCCTCTCCGTGTCTCTGAGGAGCAGAACTCTGAACACGTCTGAGCTGAAACACCTCCATGTGGCATCTGCTGGCTTCCAGCTGGGCTGCTTCTACTGCTTTATTTATTACATGATGGAGAAAAAAATCTGGCAGAAAAGATCCATGAGAACGGAGGAACACTGTTCAATGACAGCAAGGATCCAGAAAGAGTAGAAACAGTCGGAAAACAACCACAAAGATGCAAAATATCTTCAAAATGAAGAAAAGCAGCCATAAAAATGTCTGAAACTACCAGAAAGAGACACAAAAAGATGCAGAACAACAACAATAAGACACGAATGACAACATAAAGACCCAAAACAAGTCCTGCATTTAAAATGTTAATTAAAAATGACTGAAAACACAAAACGAAGCTTCATGACCAAAAAAAAAAAGGATGCAGAACGACAACAATAAGACACAAAATGACTCCATAAAGACGTAAAACTGCCTCAGAGACACAAAACAGTCACGAACACACTGAGGAGCCTCATAAAGACTGAAAACAAGACAACAAACCGCCTCATCAGACTGTAAACTGGTTAAAAACACACTGATTCATATCATTACTGAGTGTTTGCTGTACTCGGATACTTCAGTAAAAGCACCGATGGTCCTGCAGCGTGTGGAGTGAACCAGGAAGAATAAATCACACTGAAGGTGATGGAGGTTGTTCAGATCCGTCCTGAGTTCTCTGAGAGGAACAACCCAACGGCGGACGGATCGCTGATGGAGGCTGTGAAGAGAAACGAGCTGCTGGAGGGTGTGTGTGTGTGTGTGTGTGTGTTGTGTGTGTGTGTGTGTGTGTGTGTGGTATGTGTGTGCAGCTTTATCACGTGTGGACCCGTCAGCAGCGTGTGTGTCGGACCAAACATCTGGAAGAGCTTCGGCTGATTCGTCTCCATAATGTCTTCCAGCTCAGAGGCTCTCAGGATGAACGTCACCGAGTCGATTCGTCTGTCGGCTCTGGAGATTCAGACGGTGTCGGAGGAAACACGCATCAGCTTTGAACCCACGCACAATGTTTGAAATGCAGGTTGTCTTCATGGTAACACAAAAACTACAAAGAACAGAGACACAAAAGGTGCTGAAAAAAACAACCACATCAACAGAAAAAACACAAGAAATGAGACACACAACAGCTGTAGAGAAACAAATGGACCAGAAAGAGACACAAATCTACCGTAGAGACACAAAACACCCACAAAGAAGATGTAGAGCGACCACAAAGAGACACAAAACACCCACAAAATGAAGTAAACTGAACACTAGAGACAAAAAACAACAACAAAGACGATTAAAGTGACACAACAAGATGCAAACTGACACCAAAGACACACAACAACAACCACATTAACACAGAAAGATGCAAAACGACCACAATGAGACTCACAACAACCAGAAATGGAAACAGATCGACCACAACATCATTGCAAAGACACACAAAACTNACACACACACACACACACACACACACACACACACACACACACACACACTCTCTCTGTTCTCCTTGACCTGCGCTGACACTTTGCTCTGTTTCACCGTCGCTGTTGAACAAACGTTCTGCACCAGCGACGGTCTGTGAAGCACGACCGAGTGTGTGTGTGTGTGTGTGTGTGTGTGTAGGTGTGTGTGTGTGTGTGTGTGTGTGTGATCATGTTACACAATCACAGCTACACATCAGCGTTCCTCCTGTGACCTACTGACTTTACCTCTGAGGATGAAAACATCTTGAAGGTTGGTTTGTTTGGATCAGATTAAACCTCTCCGTCACCTCCTCTGTTCACCTTCTACAACGTCTGAACGCTGCAACGTGGACTCATTTCCTTCTACATGAACTCAGCAGCAGAACGAGACGTTACAGGAACATCTTAGTTAAACGCTGGAACCAGATCTGTGTCCAAACGATCAAACCAAACCTCTGAAACCTGGTTCCTGTATCCACGCCAGCTGTTTGTCTTTTAACGCTCTGATTAAACGTCTTCTTCTCTTCATTCCCTTCTGCTGCCGGTCCTCTCGTTTGTTTCTGTGCTGGCAGAAACCAAACCGATAAAGAACCAGAGTTTGAATAGTCAGTTTAAAAACGTCACCGTGTCGGTTAACCAACACACGCTGGAATGTAGAAGTTCATTGGCCTCCATGTCGCTGCTTCTTCTTCTTCTTCTTCCCACAAGCAGTGAAACACGAGAGAAGAAGCTGAATATTCCATCAGAAGGAGGCAGAACGTCCCTGAAGGCCTCGTTAGTGGAGCATTAGTTCAAATCAACTCCTTCTAAAGCTTCAGCCGCCACTGAGTCTCCATAAAAACAGTTTATATTTCGATTAAATGCTGCTCATGAAGTAATTTTTCCACATTTTAAAGCAGCAAAAATGAAAACGATCAAAGAAAATGCATTAAGAGCCGAAGTAGCACCGAGTGAATGTATTCAGTGACTCTTAGATGAATTCTAGCAACAAATAATCAGCTGGTTTAGATTTTCACTGCAGCGAATCCTAAACTTCCTGTTTAGAAGTCGATTGGTTCACGAGAGTCACTTGACGCGTCCTTATATGGGCATAGGAAGATGGATGCTTGTCGTCTCTGATTCGTGTTTAGGTTTTATGGAGCCGGTTAACACCAAGAAAGTCTGGATTTGTTAAACTTCTAGTTTATCCCTCAGAAGAAGAACTTTCAGTTTCCAAAACCTGCAGATCAACGACGATATTTTTCTTTTCTGCAAATCGGCCGTAAACGTTGAGCGTCTGTCGGACCCCTGCTCAGTTTCTGTTGTGTGTTAATGTACAGTTTGTGACTATCTGACGTCTGGAGATCATCTCCTGGAGCTCCTCAGAGACTCCAGTTTGCTGTAAATCCACATCTAGTGCATTTAGAAACGTCTGGACTGGATCCAGGTTCTGAAGAGCAGCTTCATCTCTTTTCTAAATGTGGATTTAATTGTGCAACACCTTGAGCTGAACGCCGGCGTCACGTTATTTATGTTCCAGAAGCTGCTCCTGTTTCACATCGACACATTAATAAATCAGATTTAAAGTCTCTGGAGGTCTGAAGATCATCTTCTGATTTATCGGTTCTGCTCTGCAGCAGCGTNAAGTAAAAATATAAGAAAATAAAAATGTAAGAAAACAAAAATATAAGAAAATAAAAATATAAGAAAATAAAAATGTAAGAAAATAAAAATGTAAGAAAACAAAAATATAAGAAAATAAAAATGTAAGAAAATAAAAATATAAGAAAATAAAAATATAAGAGAATAAAAATGTAGGTTTACGGTGAGGAGAACTTTAACAGCTGAAGGAGCTTCTTCAGAGCTGCTGGACCGTCTCCTGAAGGGTTCTTCACGTGCACGCTCACAGCCGGTCGACACGTGCACGCTCACAGCCGGTCGACACGTGCACGCTCACAGCCGGCTGACACGTGCACGCCGGGCGCTGCAGAGACCCAGAGGTGTGTCTGGTGCTGGAGGTTGGAGGTGAAGAGGCCCAGCTGGCTGTTGTTGTAACCCTGAAGGACCAGAACTCTCCACCTCCTCCCACCACTCCTCCCTCCTTCCTTCCTTCCTTCCTTCCTCCTCCATCCTTCGTCCTTGCTGCTCTGCTCTTCGTATTCTTTCCTCCCTTCGTCTTTTCCTTTCGTTTTTTTTTTTGCTCAAATAATCATCAAACATCTGTGAAGTATTTATATTTTGGCTGTTTAAATGCAGCTGAACTGTAATTTTATAGTCACACATTGAAAAAGAACAAATATCATCTGTAAAAATAAACAGAACTTTCAATTTGGGCCTTTTTTTTAATTTAATTTTTTTTTTCTTTTTTCACAGTTTCCTTTTTTTTATTATCAGATATTATCTGTAGTTTAACAAACAGGAAGAAACAGACTTTTTAAAAAAATGAGTTGCCAGTTTTTAGTGCTATATTATTATAGATCTATTTTTCTTTCAAGTAACTGCAAATAATCTATAAACTGATTCTATTTTTGCTGATACAATAAAATAGTAAAAAAAAAAATTATTACCGTTTGAAAAATAAATTTAGTTAACATCTAAATTAATGCTTTTATTCTGTGATTTAACAAAACAGGGAAAAATCTGCAAAATAAAAGTAAATAGTTTAAAGAAAAACAGATAAAAACAGTTTATTCTCACAGTGTTATTCGTGTTAAATTATTCTAAAGTGACCGTTTCCAGCCTCTGGGGGTCAAACTGCGTCTGTAGGACCTGGTATCGTATAAACCCAGCTGGCTGCTGGTTCAGATGATCCGACACGCTGGCTGTGGAGCTGTGATGTGAGGAACTCTCTGAAGCTACCAGCTCTTCACTGCCTCTGGTGGATAAACTGCTTCTCGTTGTTCTCTGGTCTTTTTTCCCACAGCTCCATATTTCGCGGTTCAGCCGTGTGCGTTTATTCGATGGCGTCCATCAGAGCTGCTTTCAACGGACCGTTCGCCCATAAAGAAGGTCCAGACTACCGCTGGGTGGAGTACAAGGGACGCATCCCGTATCCCAGACCTGGAACCGTGAGTAGACTCACATCTGAGAGGCTTTATTACAGCATCACTGTCCTAATAACAGACAGACCGTTAGCACAGAGACACGAAATGATTTAAAAGAGACGAGAAACGACCTGAAAGAGCCAAAAACTGACTGAAGAATGAAAAAAAANGTGTGTGGTCTTTGTTCAGACTGTAGCCGCCGATAGACGCTTTCATGTCTGCAGACAAAGAGAGAAAGTGGACGAGAGGGAAGAGAAGAGCTTTGGTCGGTAAACGGAGGATGAGAGGAGACGGAGTGAATGTGGAGGTTCGTTAGTGAACCTGGAGGCGGATGGAGGACAATAAGCTGGAAGCCTCTCAGAGTGAACTCATTAGTAGAGAAGCTTCCTGTAAGTGTAATCAAACACAGCAAACCGAGGCAGCCTCATGAGCCTGATGTTATAAAGCTGGACCGATTATAGGTTCAAACCTCCTTCGTTTGTTTTAACCAGAATCCCGTCAGTCTGTAAATCGATCTGTTGATTCCAGTTGGTTCGTTTCATTCTTCAGAACAAACAACGGATCATTAACGAGATGGATTAAAACTTTAAATTGAAACTAATAACTCACTAAAAGTAACGTGAAGTTAAAAGTATTCAGTTAACAATCAGCTGAGAACAGGCAGCTGGCCGAGGATGCTCTGAAGTTAGACCAGTCTGATGTATTTAAATCATTTAAATATCTTCATTCTGTTTGGTTAAATTAGACATAAAATGCAGTAAAACTGCAGAAATAAAATGTCAGTTTAAATGTGCAAACTGCCCATAATGTCCACAACAAACATCTGTGTTATTGAGGAGTAATAATGAATTATTTTAGGTTTATTTTAGAAGGTAAAGTTAAACTATAGAATAAACATTTTAATCCCCTAAAATATCATTATTAAATCATTATTAAAGGTTTCAGTGTTTTTATCTTCTTTTTTTAAACAGTTTTTAGTGTATTTTTATTATTTTTGTATGTATTTTTTCTTTATTTTCATGTATTGTTTTAGGTATTTTTTATTTTTTTAAGGTATTTTTATTTATTTTGATGTATTTTTATGTTTTTTTGGGGGGTATCTTATGTATCATTAATGTATTTTGTGTATTTTTAATTTATTTTTAGGTATTTTTATGCTTTTTATGTATTTTTTTATTCCTGTTCGCTGTCAGATTTTCTCTATTTTTACGTTTCTACAGTGTTTCTGCAGTTTAATCGTCTTTTATTCTTTCCTTTTCTTCCTCCCTGTTTGCTTCACTTCCACGTTGTTTTATTAAATCAGTCAGTTTAACGTCCTCGGCTTCAACTGTAAAGACAGAATTAAAGCTGGCTGGGAGGTTTTTTAGCGACATGCTGATAGTTTAGAGATAAATGAAGCAGAGCAGCTCAGGAATCCGTCACCTGGACTCTGATCCGGTTTATCTGAGCAGCGACACACATCAGCAGAAGAACCACCAACAGACGACATCTTTAGTTTTCTTTACATGAACACCACGTGGCGTGACCTGAACACACGAACACGCGTGTGTCAGTGTGTCAGGTCGACTGCACGCCACACAACCGTGTCGGCGCAGACGTGAACACACACACACACACACACACACACACACACACACACACACACCGTTAATGAAGCAGGCCCAGTTTTAATCACCTTCTGATTGCAGCTAATCAGAGCTGATCGCTGCTGATAATCAATCTCACACACGCAGATGGTAGACAGACACACACACACTGACACACACACACACAGACACACACACACGTGTTGTTTTATTAGACGTGAAACTATCCAGCAGGATTTATTAAAGTCTGATCGACAACAACGCAAGCCTGAAACAAAGAGACACACAACCACCACAAAGAGATGAAACACAACATAAAGACACACAGGAGAGAGCAGACTTTTACTTTCTGTAGACACACACACACACACACAGACATACACACACACACTGAGGTCGTGTGTGGAGGTCGTGACCTCTGCCATCGACCAATCAGCGCTAATCCAGATCACCGGCAGCCAATCAGAAGCAATCAGCGTCATCCTGACAGGAAGNAAAACACAATCCGACACATTCACACAAATCTCCTCCAACATCTGCAGCACACGTCTGTGGTGCACGTGCACGTCTGTGGTGCACGTCTGTGGTGCACGTCTGTGGTGCATGTGCACGTCAGCCCGGAGTGTGTCGCGGTGTTTGTTGCTTTTTGTCGTCACTAGATGTGTGTGTCGCTGCAGGGAGTCTGTCAGAGCTGATTAATGTCAACGCAATGAAACATCAGGTCAGGTGTGTCCGTTTGTGTGTGTGTGTCTGTGTGTGTGTGTGTGTGTGTGTGTGTGCGTGTGTTTGTGACCTGTGACCTTTGCGTGATCACAGCGAATAGATTCAGGAGAAAATGAAGAGGAAAGACGAAGGAAGGATTCTTAACTTCTGTCCACACAGGGTTCTGGAGGAGGAGGGGAGATATTTTAAGGACTTTTTTGTAATTTGTGAAAGTCCTGAATGATTCTGGACGAGCTTCGTGTCATCTTTCATGGTTTTAAACACAGTTAAAGTCATTCAGGTGATTTATTTGTCATTTTAAACACATTCTAAGTGGTTTTGTCTTTTTTTTTTTGCTATTTTCTGAGTCATGTTGGACATTTTCTGAGCCTCATAACGTCCTCGGTGCAGCAGACAGACACGTGATATTTCCCCTGATTCTGTTCAGAGCTGACTCCAGATCAGTTTTACGTCCGTCCAGGTGTCTCAGTCGATTCTAAATCATTTATTCACGACAGAACAACTGAACAGATCGATGCGTGTGTGAAGGCTGCAGCAGGGTCGATGCTTTGGGTTTGTTGTGTTGCTGTTGCGTACCAGATGGAGACACACACTGACTCACACACACACACACACACACACTGAGGCTGGTTATCGTCGCCCAGTGGGAGCTGACAGACTCCTCGATCTTTAACTTGTTGGCTGATAAGAACCAGATAACGGCAGATTAAAGCTTGTAGCTTAATGGGCTCCATGTGCTGATAGCAGGACTCACATCATGCACACACACACACACACACACACACAGTCACACAGACACACACCTGAGGGGAGGCTTTCACACACTCTGGTTCTCACACTGTCGGCCTCCAGGTCGTCGGCTGTACGAGGGTTTTACCGTCCAGTCGTNACTGAAACATTGGACCAGAACCAGACCTCTAGACGTGAACAAACTGCTGATTCTGACTAAATATCCGCCGTCTGTTCCAGAGCCGGAGTTCGTCGGCTCCTTCTCCATCCCCGACACCCACAGCCCCGACGACGACAAAGTCTACTTCTTCTTCAAGGAGCGAGCGGTGGAGGCCGGCCAGTGGGACCGGAGGGTCTACAGCCGAGTGGCCCGAGTCTGCAAGGTAGAACAACACCGAGACCAGAGACATGAGGCCCGGTCGGGTCTGGATGGAGGCTCTGAAGGATCAGGTCTCCTTCAGTCTGACAGCAGGAGGATCAGACCTGCTGGGCTTAATGAGGGAATCAGCCTCCAGATAAAAACCAAACGATTCAGGATGTGAGAAGAACAAACGCAGGAACACCTGCAGCCAGAAGCCAGGATGAATCTGTTTAGTCTGAATTCACATCATTTGAATGTATCTGATCTGAAGCTGTTGACTTCACGTCTCAGAGTCCAGGTTAAGTTCTTGTGAGATTATTTATGTCTACTGAGGAACTCAGAACAAACTACAGGTACTGGTGTCACTGCAGCAGCTTCATGGCACCAAGCTGGACCTGGTTCTAGTTCATGTGTAGGTCTGTAGGTCACCTGCTTCATGTTTCCTGTTTCTGTGTCCGTCCCGGTCCAGAACGACGTCGGAGGGAAGAGGAGTCTGATCAACCGCTGGACCACCTTCCTGAAGGCCCGGCTGGTCTGCTCGGTTCCGGGTCCGTCTGGAGTCGACACCCAGTTCGACGAGCTCGGTAACGTTTCCTTCCTCTCTGGTTGGACCTCTGGACTGACAGCCGAGCTGCAGCAGACGTTCCTCCTTTCCTTCCTCCGCTCTCCTCCCTTCACTTCACTGAAATCCAACAAACACACACTTTTGCCGAATCAGTCACTCAGTGAGACTTTATTTGTGCAGATTGATGCTGTTCACGGCACAAAAGAGACACAAACAGAACAAGAAGAGGATGCAAAATGACTGGAAGAGACACAAAATGACCACAAAGAGACAAAAAATGACAACAAAGGATGCAAAATGACTCAAAATAGACAGAAACTGACTGAAAAGAGGCAGAAATCGAGCACAAAGAGACACAATGACCTTTAAGAAATGCTAAACGATCAAAAAGAGAAACAAAGTCATGAAAAGGGACACAAAATGAGCACATAGATGCAACCTGAACAGGAAGGGATGCAAAATGACTGAAAATGGACAGAAACAGACTAAAAAGACAGAAAATGACCTGCAAGAAACAATAAATGATCAGACAGGGATGCAAAATGGCTCAAAATAGACCTAAAATGACCACAAACTAACGTAGTGTCTAAAAGAGACACACAATGAGCACAGAGACACACACAGAATAAGAAGGGATGCAGGATGAGCACAAAGAGACACTTGAGCCCAGGACTGCAGCTCAGAACCTGGCTGTAGAACTTCCTGGTCCGACTTTAACATGATGAACCTCCACAGTTCTGAGTTAGCGTGACGAGTTAGCCTCTGATGCTACCAGAGCAGCCGTATGACGGTAAACCATCAGAGTCCTGCTTCATGATGTCTGAAGCCGTCTGTGTGTCTTTCTAGAGGACATCTTTGTTCTGGAGACCAAGGACCCTCAGAACCCGACCATCTACGGAGTCTTCAGCACCTCCAGGTGAGACCACCTGGGATTCCAGGATGACTTGGCTTCATGTCAACACCAGAACACTGCAGGGTTCATTACTCTCATCTTAACGGTATCGTCACAGTTTGATGAGCAGAAAACAGCTGATTTACACGTAAGGCAGGTAAAAAAGTACGAGTATGAAGTGTGAAAGTGTTCACAGTGCTGGGAAAGTAAAAATATAAGAAAATAAAAATATAAGAGAATAAGAATGTAAGAAAATAAAAATATAAGAAAATAAAAATATAAGAAAATAAGAATATAAGAAAATAAAAATATAAGAAAATAAAAATATAA